GAAAATTCTTCTTTAATTGTCTCCATTTTGTTTCCTGAAGATCCTACAAGAATCAGCCCCAGGCAGAGTAGCAGCAGAGAGGCCTCCATCTCAGATCTAGGATGCTCTCTTCTGCAGCGAAAATAAAAAGTAAGAGGTAAAACTAAGAAGAATATTAAGGAGCTAGCTCTCTTTTCCTCATGACAGTTATTCCCAGGATTGACCCCTCATGTACCTTAAGACTCCTACATCTGTTCATGGAAGTATGATGCTGTGAAAAGACAATCAGCTGTGGAGTCTGAAGACCCAGTTTCAAATCCCTGCTTATCCACTAACAATTTACTCTACCTCATTAAACTAACCTCAGTTTCCCCATATGAAAAATAGAAAACGTGAGAATTACATAGGATAATATGTGTATAGTACCCAGAACCAAGTCTATTTCTCTTCCTGTTCCCCTCATCTGTAATCTCATCGGTAGGATCTGTCATCTTCAAATAGATCACAAGAATCTCACTCACAGATTCCTCACTGTTCCTGTGTCTCCCACAGCCTCACACAGTACCCAGCATGCACTTGAAAAAAACCCCACAATGTTATTCCGCCCTCTCCCATTTCTTTTCCCACCAATCTCAGACATGGGATATCTGCCTTTACCAGTTTCTTTAGCAAAACTGATCCTGTAGAGAAAGCTTCCAGTTTGTTGGAGGGTCGGAAGTGAAACTGTATTTGTTTCCTGAGAGTTTCTGCTATTGGGTCTAGCTGAGGGAAGGAGGGGCCAAAAACGGGGGAGGGAGAACTGTACGAGATTGAAGTAGAAGACAACGTGGAACCAAGGACACTCAGAGGACTGAACAGTGTCCATTTGGCTGTCAGGATCCTAGTGACCTGGGCAGCACCACTCTTTCTCTTCTGTGAAATATTCCCTATTTACTTATATTTTAACCCAAAGTGATTTTTCTTTCTTCTTTGAAACCCTACAGCATAGGTTATATTGCACTTCACTTTATATGGTTCTTTTTTATTTTTCAAGTTGGTTGATATATGTTAGTCTTTTCTTTCTCTTATTGAGGCTAAAAATCTTTTGAGTCTGGAATATACTTCCTGCTTCTTTTATTCTGTACAGAATCAAACACTTTCTTAGCAATGTTTGTTAACAACATAGTATGGCTTGACTGATGTAGAAAATTCTTTACTTGAGGTCAGTGCTGGAAAATTCACAATGAGCTCCCAGAAAGAATGGTTATTTACAGTGATAATCCTTTATCTTGCTCCAGAAAGATCTTACTCATTTCTCTGGTCTCTAAGAGCCTCCTTCCTTTACACTTGTATCTCCTGCATTATCATACTTACTTATATCCTGATCATCATTCCTTGCCCCTCCATTCCTTCAATACACTACTTTCTAAAACACCACTTGTAATGACATTACTTCAGAAACATTCAATTATCCCTCATTGCCTATGTGAGGTAATCGAATCCCCTGAGGCCACTTAGCCAAGGCTCTACTTGATCCAATCCCCTTCTCTAGGCTCACCTCCCATTATTTCGGTATGCAAGCTGGCTCTCATCAAATCAGTGTGACTCACTCCCTTTGAATGCACTCTATTCCATCTCTCCATTTCTGCTCCTTTCTGAATGCCTACTCTTTTCTGCCTCTTAAAACCCTTCAGAGCCCAATTCAGATCCCATTCTTTCGTTGACATATTTTCTCACTACTTAAGCTTGCCAAATTCATTTCTCACCTATATCCTGAACGTATATATCTGAACTTCTTACCACCACTTCTTTTTTTTCTTATTCACTTCTCTTTTCTTTCTTTTTTATTAAATAATTCTTTATTGTTGAAAGTATTACATGTCCCCTTTTTCCCTCCATTAATCCCCTCCAGCCCACCCTGCCCCCTGCCCCAGGCCTTCAGCACCCTATTGTCTATGTCCATCCACCCACTTCTTTTTTCTAAAAACAAAAAAAAATGTTTTTATTGATTTTAGAGAGAGAAGAAGGGACAGATAGAAACATCCATGAGAGAGAAAAACTTCAATTGGCTGCCTCCTGTACGCCCCCTAGTGGGGATTGAGTCCACAACCCCAGCATGTGCTCTGAAGGGAAATCTAACTGGTAACCTCTTGGTTCATAGGTCAATGCTCAACCACTGAGCCAAAACAACTAGGGAGACCACCCACTTCTTATACCACGCATTTGACATTAGTACACATGGACTTGTATTTTTTTTATATTTCATTTTAAAATGTCCTGTATGTAAAACAAGAGCAAAGACCCAGTACCAAGAATATATAAGCCTTAATAATTGGGTTGATTGATTATTAATAGATTATTAAGAATTAAGTGGATGTGTTCATGTTTGTGCCTTGAACATAGACTTAGTGTAGGTTGAGGGGAGGCTGGAAGAAGGTTTAGATTATTTCCTAAACATCGACTGCCATCGATATAAATAGTGAGGTGATAATAGGAAAGCAGACAATAAGGAGAAAAATAAGAAGAACAGTGTAGATTCCCAGTTTTTCTGGAACATGTATTTCAAGTGGGCAGAAATCCCAGCTACCTGGGTTTGATTTGGGCTGCTAGGTGCCCATTAAAAACAACAACAACCCCCCCCCCCCAAAGAATAAGTAAATAAAAAGAAATAAAAACAACAACACCCAAACTGCAAATGTGTAAAACATCACAATTCATTTGAATTGGGCTTTGATCCTCATTGACTCAAAATACTGTGAGGATAATTTCCATTGATAGTCTCAGTTGCATACTGACACTTTAATGGGAATGCATTTATCTGTAAAATTTTGTTTTTAATTAACAAGAGGGAGGTTAGGTGAGTAAAGGAAGAGAAATCATTGGGAAGGACAATAAAGCCCAGGGAGAGGAGTAGGAAAAGGAATCAGAATTCAGAACATAGAAATTAATAAAAACAAACACTGTTTGCTCAGTGGTGAGAGAATCAGCCTACGGAGTGAAGGGTTACAGGTTCGATTCCCAGTCAAGGCCATGTACCTCGGTTGCAGGTTCAATCCCTGGTGGGGCGCGAGTGGGAGGCAACTAATAGCGGGAGGCAGTTAATTGGCATCAGATGTTTCTCTCTTTATATCTATCCTCCCCCATCCCTATCAATCTCTAAATATCAATAGGGGGAAAATAGCCTCAGGTGAGAATTAAAACAAAACAAAAAATATAGAAATGGGAGCCATAAAGGACACATTTTAGCTACTGTAAAGTTTTACCCAGGAAATGATGCTGCAACCAGGACCCCGCATCATGTACTAAGGACCACCTGTTCCTGCTCAGCATCTGAAGATGCTGAGGACCCTGGTCCCTTGGTGGCATTCCAACATCCATGAAGACAATGGTGACAATGGGTTTCTGCAGAGAAATGGGTAATGAAACTCAACTGTGAAAGGGCCACCCCACATGGGTAAGCCTTGCCCATGTCCTTTACTTACCTCTGTCACTCTCTTCCCCTCTAATCTAATCAATCAGAATTTGTTGCTTACAAAGACAGAGTTAATAACTAGCATAGGTGTACCTCCTTCTTTGATCTAACCTTTAATTAAGTACAAATAAATAATGCAATAGTTGAAGTCTCTCAACTGAAAAGATCGGAACAGAATGGACCCTATGAAGCTCACGCATCCCTGGGGCTGCTCTAGCTCACAGTAGGAGTTCCTGGCTCTGAATTACAGGATTGAAATGTCATAGTTCAGAACTAGTGTTCCCATAACCTGGCACTTACCTGCCAAATACCCCTTCTTCCTTACTACTCCCCAGTACTAACCCTCCCTTCCAACAAGGCTAGTTTCTGTACTACTAAGAAATAGAATTGTGGTGTGATAGGCCTGGAAAGAACCTCAAAGATTATCTCGTTCAAGCTCCCTCACTTTACAGTGAGACAACTGAGGCTCAGAGAGGAAGAGGACTTCATCAGATTCCCTTCCTTCTCTTCCTTTGCCCTCTAACTCTAAAGATACGCTGCCCATAGTTGAAAGTGAAATAACTAAAGAACCAGTCCAGTTGTAAGAACTAAAAGAAGAAAAGAATTAGTAGTCTGGTCAAAGTCCTTCCTGTTTCCTCTGGGGATGCCAAGAGGAGGTACAAGGAGCTCTGAGAGTCTCGTTGTCTCCCTGAGACATCCTTATCTGTTTCTCTCCGCAGTCTTCCAAGGAAATGGTTTCTGGCTCCTTCTGATCTCTTTTTCCCTTTCTTTCAAGGGGCAGAGGAAGCGCTGAACAGGAGCAGCTGCAGCTTGAGTCATATATGCCATCTTTAAGAGAAAATCCTAAGAGATGACCCCAATTGCCTCTACACTTAGAACCAAGTAGGGTGGAATGAATGCAGTACTTGCTCTAGGTATGAAATTTAAGGGGCACCAAAAAGCCCAGTAATCAAGATGATATTTTTAATGCGACATTTAAGAATTAATTTAATTCAAAACAATCCCTGATGAATATCAAAAATGTAAATAACAGGACCAGACCTTGCGTGGGCACAACTCATGTACTTCGCTCACCCTAAATCCAACCCTGTCAGATTTGTCTTGATTTAAAATTGAGATATTTTGTTCATCAGAGATTTTTGCATTAATTTTGATTTTTAAAAAATATTCTTTATCTAGATTACTTGGGGGAGGGTGCCCCTTAAAATTTGCATGTAAAGTGAGTGCCTCGCTCACCTTATCCTAATCCCAGTCCTGCATAGGATTCACTCTGGGCTCTCATCAAATGACCCAAAGAAAAGGAACACGAAATTGAAACACACGCATAGTTTATGATTTAATTCGGTAGAGTTTTGTTTTTTATTGAAGCAGAGTAAGAAGATTCCAGCTCATTTAGTTTTTTATTGAAGCAGAATAAGAAGATTCCAGCTTAGCCATACTGGAAGGATAAATGAATTACTCGTGGCTACCATTTCACTTGGGCTTTCCCCCATGTCCACAGTCAGATGTGCGCCAGGAAGAACCAGTACCAGTGCCCCTGGGAGAGGAGCAGAGAGGTGCTGGTCTCAAGTTATTCAACATATTTCTGGAAGTTAACGGGCCCCATGTCATCGCAAGTGACGACAATAAACCCCTCTGTGGGGGAAATGTGGTACCTGCAGGCAGGATATCTGATACCTTCAATGAGCTTACAGACTGTCATTTTGAACTTTGTCTCACTCTGGAAACATGAAATGCTGGAATGGTTTTGGCAAGCCGTCCTCTTGGGAGAAGTGCAAACACGATTGATCTGTCGAGGCCTCTCGTGGATGAAGACATGCTCCTTTTTGCAGGTGTTGTCAGGTTCCTTGATGATTCTTTCTAAGATCATGTGGTTGCAGTACCTTACAGCAATATTACTCTGAGGGTAGTCCACGTGCAGGTGTTCTATGGTTGACATCACTGTTTCTTCATACAGCTCGTTTTCCCAGAACACAATCATCAGGAAAATTATCACCATTAGTATCATCAGGGGTAAGAGTCCCTTTACATCTGTGGCTTTAATTCCTATAGAGTAAGAGGAAACAGAAAGTAGCAGAGGGTAATAAGAGTCCCTCCATCCCCATCGTTTGCTCCCCCACCCTTAGAACATTTTATTTCCCTCACTCTGCTAATTCAAATCATGCTTAGCCTGCAAGATCCAAGACCTTTCTGACCATTTCAATTCTCAGAGTTTGGCACTGAAGTGATCTCTAATTATTTCCATTTGTTTTACTTCCATCAGCTCCTTGATGGCAGGTATCTGATCTTCTAGTTCTCCCGAATCTGTCAGAGAGCTTAACACAGAGACGGACAGACAGAGGTGCTCGAAAGTACCCATGCCTGCTTGATTCATTCCTGTTGCTGAATGAGTTCCTTCCCATAATTGTCTCAACTCTAATTCCACCCAATTCTTCATGCTTTTAGCACTGTCTTCTAATCTGTCCTTCCCAATTCTCCTTCTGCCAACCCCAATGGGCTCTGTTAGCTCCTCTTACCTTTCCTTTTTGCTGTAGCTTTCACAAGTAACATATCCTTGTGATCATGGATCTGAGAAAGTCCTTTGTGTCTCGCTGTTCTCTGACAATAACTGGTAGGGAGCCAGTTGAGCGTGGGGTGAGCCCAGTAGAAAGAACAGGCAGGGAGGAGCCTGTAGGGGAGTGTGCTTGGATGCCTTTGGAAAGGAAAAGACCTTAATCTTCAGAGGGAGAGTTGAGTAAGGAGGCCCTGAAAGTGTCCTCATTAAACAAGTGTAGACTTTTCAAAACATTTAGTAAAGTGCTGATCTGTGCCAGACACAGCATTGTCTATTTTCCAAAATTTCATCCAGTCCTTAGTCAAACTATGAAGTCACTATTATCTCCCTTTCATTAATGAAGAAATTAATTGCTGAACAGTTCAAGTGGAGATGGGAGATGACAAGGGTAGTAAGAGTTTCACTTTCTCAATGTTTGACACTTGGACTCCAGTTTCAGTAAGTTTTATTCCCATGTGGTGTTCAGGACAAGGCAGAATAATCCCCTGACATTAACATTAGTCTTAATAAAGCCCTAGAAAATATAGCAATGGTTCCCAAACTCTGCTGAATATTACAATCACCTGGGCATTTTTAAGTGCCACCTTGAGACATTCTGCTTTAATTGGTATTGGTGTGACCTGGTTTGGATTATTAAAATTCTTCCAGTGATTCTAATATGCAGCAAAATTTGGGAACTACTGATCTATGGTATACATTGGAAACCTACATGGAAAATTGTGGACAAGGGCTTGGTGAAAGATCAAGTTATTGAGACCATAGAATTATTTTTGTTGCTATCATTTCCTGGCCATTTGATATAGGAATGGAAAAACAGACTTAATTTTACCATTTCTTGCCCTGAAATGATTTATCTTTTGAAGAGACATCTATGTAGTCCTCTCTCTCTCTCTCTCTCTCTCTCTCTCTCTCCATATATATATATTATATATATATCTAATCTAATAATAGACAAACATGGTAATTGACTGTACCTTTGCTACGCCTCTCATCAGCTAATCAGCGCAATATGCAAATTAACTGCCAACAAAGATGGCGGCTAATTTGCATACTGCAGGCAGGGTGGGTCAGCGCCATCCCACCTGCCCCGCCGCCAACCGGGCCTGCTATTTGCCACCCGAGGTGGTGGGGCGGGACAGCACCATTCCGCCTGCCCTGCCACCATCCGGGCCTGCTATCTGCGACCCGGGGCGGTGGGCGTCCCGTGTGCGACCCGACCCAGGGTGGCGGAGCGGGACAGCGTGGCTCCTCTGTCACCCCAGCTTCCTCATCACAGCTCCCATGGGGGCCTAAGCCTTTAGTCGGACATCCCCCGAGGGCTCCCTGGATGCCAGAAGGATGTCTGACTGCAAGCTTAGGCCTGATCCCCCGGGGAGTGGGCCTAAGTCGACAGGTGGACATCCCCCAAGGGGTCCTGGACTGCAAATGGGCACAGGCTGGGCTGAGGGACCCCCCTGCCCCAAGTGCACAAATTTTTATGCACCGGGCCTCTAATATATATGTATATATATATATACATACACACACACACACACACACACACACATATATATACATATATATATATACATACCAGGGGGCAGATGCTCAATGCCGGAGCTGCCCCCTGGTGGTCAGTGCACTCCCACAGCCAACCTCCTGTGGCCGGCCAACCTCCAGGGGTCCCTTCCTTCCCACCTGCTAGCCAGCCCTGATCGGCCCAGATTGCCGACCAAGCCAAGGGATGCCATCCATGCACGAATTTGTGCACCGGGCCTCTATTCTCTCTCTCTCTCTCTCTCTCTCTCTCTCTATATATATATATATATATATATGTGTGTGTGTGTGTGTGTGTGTGTGTGTGTGTTTCTTATTGATAAGAAGAAAAACATTTTGGGGTAAAAAATGGTCTAGGAAAGACAGAGAATCCTGGAAAAGGATTAAAAAAAATGTGTCTCTTTCTATAGAACAAAACCATAATTCCAGACCATGAAAATGGACAACCAAGAGGTTATTATTTGCTTTCCAAAAACTTTCATGCTGTGTGCCCTTTCAGAATTGAAACGGCCCTGTTTCGGATATGTGTTTGCACAATGCCACAAAGACATAAGTTGACGAATCTAATTCTGTTGATGAATTTTCCGACTCAGGAAGGTCGTTTAAAGCGGAAGGTACTCTCCTCTTCCCTCCATCCTCTAACCCTTTCTTCCTGCTTCTCTTCATCATCGCCCAGATGCCAACTTTCAGCACCGTCTAAAGACCAAAAGGTGGGAAGTGCTTCTAGTACTTCTGAGTTGGAATCTTCTCCCCTTCCCTATTCATTTTCACCAAGGAGCCCTCCCAAACTACTTTCACTTACTACTCTGCTGTGGAGAACAGTCAGATGATCTCTCAAGTTTCTTTCTAACCTTGGAAGTGGGCCTTGCCCATGAGGAAATCTCTGCTGGTTCCCACAAACTCCCAGTTAGATCAAGTCCAATGCAAGGCCAGGTGTCAAGAAATATCTCTAAGTCAGGGCAAAGGACATGAAACTTTAACTCTTGCAGGAATCCTCCTTAAAATTAACCACTTCCATTTCCTCTTTGAAACTCCATAAGAAGCCCTCCTCCCTGCTTCCTGTACATGACTTAGTGTGAACAGTTACTCTGTGGGGCAGGAAAGGGTCTGTTTGGCTTTCTGCACGCGTGCTGGGTGTTTGGGAGGCCGGAGCACGTGCCCTTTGCTCCAGCACACTGCCTGGTACTTCACAGAACAAAAAGTGTCTGTGGAGTGGATGAGCGGATAAAGGACTTCAGAGCTTGTTCTCTTCTGCCACTAACTAGTTGTATGATCTTACAGAGCCATGTCACTTGTCAGAGTCCCAGTTTCTTCATCTCTAAAATGGAGGTGGCAGAAAAGAATAAAGGCAGAATCGGACTATCTATGAGTCCCTTTCTGCTGTCACAAACTAAGGTTCTGAGCTCAATTAAAGTGACTCCACTAGTCCCCCCCCTTTTATAAATATATTTTATTAATTTTTTACAGAGAGGAAGAGAGAGGGGTAGAGAGTGAGAAAGAAACATGGATCAGCTGCCTCCTGCACACCCCCTATTGGAGATGTGCCCACAACCAAGGTACATGCCCTTGACCAGAATCAAACCTGGGACCCTTCAGTCCGCAGGCCGATGCTCTCCGCAGGCCGATGCTCTATCCACTGAGCCAAACCAGTTAGGTCAAGTCCCTTAAGATGACAATTCTCTGGTGACCACTTCCAACCCCCCCCCCCCCCCACACACACACACACACACTGGGAAAGTAGGGCTGTCCACTCTACCTCCCTGCCTGGAGGCAGGGTGAGCAATGGATAAATGGATCCTGCGTACCAGGCCCAAAAGTGGGAACTGGAGCTCTGATTCAGGAGTATGGCAGAGTAGCCCTGTGAAATAGCCTAAGGAATTGGCATTCTGGTCAAGGGGACACCTCCCTAAATCAAGAACACCTGCTACTGAGGCAAAACAAAAGGGCCTGAAGCACGCCTACGTGGAGGGATTTGTTGGCTACCTTTGGCAACAGCAACGCCGTTTGCTAAACAAGCTATGAACTGCAAGATTCATGCAATAGCTTCACAAGCCTCTGGGCAATCTTTCAACTGCCTCCCACGACGTCGCCTGTCTCTGTCCATGTGAGGTGGACAGACTGGAGCTTGGGTATGTCCAAGGACAAGCTGCTTCTGATTTGGGCAGAACAAGTTCGGAATCAGATGAGAGGCTATCTATCTCAGCCTTGCAGTTCCAGCCCCAGGCTAAGAACACAGCAGGCCCTGTTCTCCCTTGGGGGCAAACCAAGCCATTTATTTATTTTTTTTGTAACTTGTGTCCCTGAAATGACTGCCTCCAGGTAATAGCCCGGGGGGGCCAGGCTGAGGGGAGGTTGCCCTAAGCACGTCTTTCTAACAGCGGCTTGGGAGGGCCCTGTCTCTCCAGCGTTCACTTCTGAGAATGCTTTGATCATAGCATACCTGGCTTCTCCTGTGTGTCCCCAGGCTGGGCCCCTGACAGGCGCCTTTGAATCCCTTTAGAAGGACCATTACCCATCCTTCCATGCAGCCCCTCCAAGGACACTCGCAGGCTCTGTTTTCCTTTCTGGGCCAGTTCCAGCTTCCCTGAAAATCAGATGGATCTCTTGTCCCCACCTCGCATAGTCACGGAGGCCCTAAAGAACCCAGATGCATTAAAAACAAAACCCTCCCTGTTCTCAGAAGCACCCAGCTCGAGCACAAGGAACAGTGAGTGGCCCAGTAGTTGTGAAAGCCTGTCTGGAATGGCCCAGCCACTAAGTAGCTCTGTGACCCTGACCTCAACTCCAGGGGCCGCACTGACCTCCTGTACAAGTGGCTGGGAGCTGGCAGAGTTGGTGGGCTGCATGAGGTGAAAACAAGCAACAACTGAGTGTTGACAAAACGCACCCAGCCGTAACATTCCATGGTGCAGGGCTCTGTGGTGGCTT